TTCAATAGGAAGAGGGCCATGTGACACATCAAACTTATTGGTAATGTCACAAGAAAAACAATGGTGTGCTTGGTTTCAGCGTTTAAAGCCTAGACTTACTTACATTACTTTAGAATGTAAAAAGTGACAAAAACATTAGCGTCCACTGTACACTCTGTGTGGGAAGAAAACTTCTTTCTAAGCGTAGGTTCCGGCCATCAGTCGGGCGATGGAGGTATGTGGTGTGGCGTGGTCTGCGGTGCCACTACAGGGGAGGCGGATGCACCTGAGAGGCATTCGCAATCACGCCTCGTTGGCATAAAGAGTCTGTACTGGATCCTGGGAGGTTGTTGATGTTGATATGTTTGGCTGCCAGCAGTAGAGCTGCAGCCATAACAATATTGTAAGAAAAGCAACCGTGTGTGTAAATAAAATATGGTGAAAAGCATTAAAATGTGGACCGGTTACTACAAGTATCCTGCTCTCAGTGCATCATGGGAAGCTCCCAGCAGCTTAACTAAGAGAGAAGTGACACCTGTCAGGACACCTGACCCTTTTTATATTCAAAAAACCCCTCTAATAATATTTGGAGGGTAAGCAGACGACAGCATACAGCAGTTCACTTTACGTTGGTCTCAGTCAGTCCTCTGTGTCTTCAGCTTGTCCAAAATGCTGCTGCTCACATCTCACCTGTTTCAGCATCTCTACGCTGGTTGCCAGTGAGGTTCAGAATAGATTTCAAGACCCTCCTGTTTGCCTACAAAGCCCTTCATGGTTTAGCTCCTTTCTGCTTTCTACATCTCTGACCTCTTTATTCAGCTTCCAGGTCAATTGATCAGATGTTTCTGACTGTGTCTCACTCTTAATTTAAATGCAGAGGAGATCAAGCGTTTTCTGTGCCCCCAAACTGTGGAACAGCTTTCCCCTCACAGTCAAATCTCATAGAAACAACCCATATTGTTCTGGTTAGTGTTGAAAGCTGCAGTCAGTAGTGTGGTAAAAGTAAAAAAGTAAAATTTTATTTATATAGCACCTTTCAAGATAAAATCACAAAGTGCTTTACAGAGGCAGAAAACAAACATTAAAATCTAAAACAAAACAAAATCAACCAAAAGCGAGTTTAAACAGGTTTTTAACTGCTTTTTAAAAGACATGACTGGTAACAAAAGTCTCTTGACTCTTTAAATTTCCCATCTTTAACTAGAATTATATTTACTCACAATTTACCTTCAACACAGCACTAGAGCTTGTTCCTGTGCTGCCATGATGAGCGCCTCTATGCTGTCTTTCAGTCCAGTTTTTTGTATCTGACAGTGGTACATGCTGTGCCAGATTAATGTCGGTGCTGTAGAGCCTGGTGGTGTGGATCTGTAAATCAGTGTTTCAGTCATTCCTGACATAGAGCTTAATGTCATCCATGTAGAGAAGCTAATCCCTCCATTCCAGCAGTTTTTGCAAAACAAATTGTGATCTGAATGTGATGATGTGCCAATTTTGATTTCGTGAGAAATCGAAAAATATCAACAAACAGACCATAACAAAAGTTACAGGTTTGCAAATTATTTTGCATTCCTGTTTTTCCAGAGAACCTAGTACCACCATGTGCAGTTCTTCTGTATTTATCAGGAAACTAGATCAGTTATGCAAATCTCAGTTATCCTACAGCTTCAGGCCAACAGATTTAATGACTTTCTCTCACTGCAGTTGTAAGATAAGAGAACTCTTTATTGTCATTGCACAGTCATAGCTAGTACAACAGTACAACAAACGATAGGCTGGTTTGTTTACAAGTTTACAAGTCTCAGAAATAACCTTCACATCTGGTTTGTGTTACAGGAAAAAGCAGGATAGAATAATTTTCTTTGAAATTGTATCTATTTATTAGATTAGATTGAAATGGATGAATGAAGAATGGTTTACTGGAGTTTTGGTAATTTGTAGTGTAAAATATCTGAATGGTCAAACTGACTGTAAACTTTTATGCATTTATTTGACATTTTCAAAACGTAACTCTAAGTTTTTATATTTAATGGATGAAGAGGTTTACAACACAAGCTAAGAAAAGAATGTGAAATTCTATTCAGTTGTATTTATATAAATGAAATCAAAGCGGTGGCCTTGATGTGGTTTATATGATAAGATAAAGAACCTACAATAATCATCTATAGCTAACTATCCTAGTGTTAAGGTTCAGTATTGAGGAAGGAGAGTACAAACCACCATGGTCCAGAAGATCTTGGTCAAACGATTGATTTTAATGAATACACGCGTGGGAAGAACAACTAAAGGGAGAAAGAGTACTAAAGCTTAATATAAAAATATAAAAGTATAACAGAATCTTTTGAATAACCTAGACTTTGCTTTCACTTCTGCAAACTCTCTGCAACTTACTGTCAGCCTGCTGCACTTAGTCTTTCTAAAACACACACACTGTTTAAACCTCTGAATACAATATCAATGCTGCAGATTATATTATTAATGCAAGTAAAATAATTTCCCTGCTCCACACTAGTCAATGTTTTGTTTTTGTTTTTTGAAGAAAGCGCCATCTCTTGGTATATCACCTTCCAGCCTCTCACGTCTCCACAAAGAAGCAACTCCACTGCAGAGACGTTCTGCAACAGGCAAAGGAAACGACTGAGATCATGGTACACTATTAGCCAAACTATGATTTTAAATGTCTATAGTTATGTACAGGATGTCAGGGGGGTGTTTCAATTATTTTACAGATTTAGTAGTCAGCCAGTGAGCAAAGTTAATCGTCATCAAGTCACTGTTTTGTGTTGTGCTGAAAGACAGAGGTCTGCTCAGCCTGCTGTACTCGCTCAAGCTTAAGTTTAATTTATCAGAGACATGAAGTGGAATTAATACTTAATCCTAAACAAAGCTGAACACGAAAATAACATTGAATAAAAATGGTTAGACTATTCTCATCAAAGCGTGTGAATGTGCTGCCACGGGGGCTGTGGGGTGGAGTTTATAACCCACCACAATTTCCTTTTTCTGATTCGCTCTGATAAAAATATCTTAAATGGCAGAATGCTGAACTAACTATTGAGTTGGAAGCTGCGCTGAAGAAAGTAAGGCTGACGTTTACTTGTATATATATTGAAGATACAGGAGGCGGTTACTTTATTCTTTTGAGCTTCCTTGTAAACAGCATGAAAGCTGCTTAAATGAAAAACAAATGAAAATATATTTATTGATTATGCTTTATTTCTGCTTAATTTTGTACTTAACTGATAGGCTTGTGGACAGATCAAACTACTAATGGCTTCCTTATAGGTAAATAATTTCTGTAGTCAGGTACCAGTTTAATAAGTACAGCTTGCTAATTCAGTTAGGTTCAAAAATTTAGCTTTTTTTTTTTTTCATCTGTAGAAAACAAAATCAGTGGAAAATTGATTTATTAGTCCAGATGGTTTTGACTCAATATAGGACACATTCAATTTAATTCAACCACTATTTTGTTTTTCCCCTTTTGTTTTATTTCAGCACAATTTTCTCTAATATCTTTAGCTATAATTTCATATCAGAATAACAACAACGTTGATCTGCTCACTATTTTAACACCTCCTGTTGCACTCAGGCAGATCCTTTGGCAAAGAGAAGAGAGTGGGTAGAGCTTTTATAGCGGATCCATCATACAGAAAGTCAGCTGGAGATGGATATCTTCCATATAATGTGCCTGATAAGCGTCTGTTTCTGCCTTCCTTTAACCATGGCAGTGAGCTGTTGGGTGTTTTTTGTGGTACGTAAATGAGAGACTTTCATTACTTTCTATGTCTCACTCCTGCTGAACTCATTCACTTTTACAAACAGTCTAGTTTTATAAAATTTTTCCACTTTTGTCACTTTAAATGTTCATTTTCTGAGTTAATAGTTCATAAAGTTTAGTTCTGAATTCATCCGTCCATTTTTTTCTGCTTCTGAAGTGGAAGCTTATCGCAGGTGTCACAGTGTGAGAGGTGGAGTGAAACCTGCACTGGTCACCAATCTGTCACTCTTTTTAATTCCATCAGACCATTTTGCAGCTTTTACACATTTTGAGTTTCTTATTAGTCTAAATCACACTAAAAATATTTTCTGGGCACTTAATACAGTTGTTATCAAAAAACTAGCTCTCTACATCATTTTCTGTAAACATTTAAATGTTTAGTTCTGAATGTCATGTTTATTACTGCATTAATATTTTCTGCAGGTACGAAGGGAGCAGGTCCCCATCACCTACTACACAAACCTCTTAATCTCCAATCTAATCCAGTTCAGCATGATGATCATCATTTTGATCGTCAAAGAAAACCCTGAACTAGCTCTCTATCATTATATATCTCTTGGCATTTTGTGCTGTGCTGCGTTTGCTAATCTTGACTTCAAGATGTGCATTGCTACTGAAAGGTACCTGTCTGTCTTTCTCTGTCTGTGTTGCATTCAATCATATTCTCAAGCGTCCCTCTAAAGATAAATGTCCTCCTGTATTGACCCGTATGTCTGTCTTGTGTTGCAGGTGTTTGGTCATCACCCGTCCACAGTGGAACTGCATCAGACAAACTAAAGGTTCTGTGCTGCTCTCTGTTCTGGTTTGGATCCTGTCTATTATCTCTGGATTTCTTGTTGCATTCTTCGATATGATTTCACTCACTGTGTTAATTTTTTTTGCCCTCGTTCCTTTTTTCCTGTTTGCCTTCACTTTGGTTTGGACCCTCAAAACTCTGCCTGCTGCCACCTCAGTGCCCACTGAAGAAAAACAGAGAATTGTAGAAATCTTAGTTCTGTTGTTAGTTAATCATTGTCTGATGTTCCTTCCCCTGATCATCTTTTATATTGTACCAATTTCACTTTATTTTCTCGTTTATATTCCTATCTTTCTAATCCTCGTAAATTTATTTCTGTTCAATCCTTTCATGGATGTGATTTTGGTTTTTCGCATGTGGAAAGACCCCATCGACAATCAGTTGTTGTCTCTGTGCTGTTACACTATGGACAACACTGCTGGAGAGGTAGCTGCAGATAAAAAGCTACAGCTACAATGCTGCAGTGACTGTAACAGCACAGTGCTGTACACAGCACTGCAGCAGATGTAGCTGCACATAATCAGACAGGTGGTTGATTGTAGCATAGAGAGAGAGACAAAAGGGGACGATTCTGTGACAGATTTAGGTAAATTAAGCAAACATCAACCTTAATAAATGTAGTGAAGTGGACATCTGAGATTTATCTTGAGAAATTTAGAAGCACTATTCTTATTAAAAGCTTCATCGGTTATTAACCAGCTGAATTCAGTTAAACTGGGGAAGCAAGAAGCATGTTTTGTTTATTGATCAGATGCTATGAATCACGAGAGAGAAAAAAACTCTGAAGACCTACTTAATGAGCATACTATTCTGCTCCTCTGTAATTTGTATTTCTTCACACATACTAAGAAAGAGCATGGTACATGAAAGCCTGGCTCACAGTCTCTGTTCTAGTTCATCCCAAAGGTTCTATCAGGTTGTCAGGACTGTGTGCAGGCCTGTCTAGTTCTTCCACACCAATCTTTCTCTTCCATGTCTTTATGGACCTTGCTTTGTACAGTGGTGAGCAGTCATGTTGGAACATTGTTTATAGTGTTTGCTGCTTCAGATTATTTTACGTTTTTAATTTGCAAGTAATATATTGAGTTCTAATTAAATGTTTCATTATTTTCTGTTTAATTTGTTTTGTAAATGCCATTTGAAAATTGCACTTTTGTCTTCTGAACTTATGCGTGGATATTTCCATTTCCTGTGAGCTATACTGAAAAGTCTATGCTTGACTGTGACAGGGTTAGTCTTAAAAAAAACACCTGGTTTGTGTTGACAACCTGTGTTGACAAAGTGTTTTGTGTGTTTTTGTAAAAAGTTTAAAATTAAAATTCCCAATAAACACATTTTATCTTAAGATTGGAGTATTTTTGTCAATTCAAGCTCAGTCAAATTTAAATGTGTCAGGGAACCTAAAACTGTGACTATGAGCGTGCAGAGGAAGGTTTTTTTTGTTCAGTAAAACCGGAATTCCAGAAAAGTAGGGACATTCTTTAATGTGAACAAAATGAAAATCTATATGTTTTTGATAAAAGCTTGAAAGTGTATGTGTGCATTTTAATCTGAAAAAACACTTGTGACTTCCAGTCATGCGAAAATAAAGGTTTTGTGCAGAAACTTCCACCCAACCATTCTCTTCGCTTATCCAATTCAGGGTTTTTGAGGGGCTGGACCCTGTCCCAGCTGCCACAGGGTGAAAGTCTGTGTACACCCTGGAAAGGCCTACTGCACCTTCGGCTCTTTCCCTCATCAGACACTCACTAAAAGATGTGTAACACTGGTGTTGTAGCACAGTAACAGGCAAAACAACAACAATAAGAAAAACTTATTGTCTTAAGTTTATGCTGATGAAAATTCCCTGCTGCAATCAACATTTTCCAATCATAAGTCAGGCCATTTTACTTACTGAGAGAATTCCCTCAAATCTTTGACGTCAAAGCTGCTTCCTGACGCCATTTTTGAAGTGATACACAACCTGCACTCTCTCTCTGCAGATGCTCCTATTTTAAATTTTAGGTGAATTTAACAATTGTAATCTTAAGAAATCACTGAACAATTTCTTTCAATACCTTATTTTCCTCACTAAAGTGCACATCCTTTAATTTTCTCAAAATTTGACAGTGCACCTCCGGTGTTGCTTATGTATGAATTCTGCTTGTGCTTACTGACCTCTAACCGATTTTATGTGGTCTATCAAAAGAGTTAGTACGACTTTGTAAGCTACGAAGAGCATTACGGCTGCCGTATTCAGGAGCCTTGAAAGGTAATCTGGGTCCTAAACTCTGTCCATTCAGGTCCCAAAGTCAACGGACACTGCAGCATCACTGAGAGGTTAAAACTGTCTAAATTCTTTCATCTTTAATAAAATGATCAGCGTTGCTGTTTTACCAGGTGTAACAATTAAGTTTAACATCCAGGCATCCATGAAAACAGAATTTATTAAATTCAACAGAGTTAGAAGTTAACAGGAAGTTAGCTCGCTAGCTTCCACCTAAACATGATATACCATGTTCTGACTGAGAGAAATTAAAACGTACAGCTCTGCTATCACTTCCAACATAAATGAAGAAAGAAAACTAAACAGCAGTGACGTTTGTAGGGTTACTGAAGTTGGAATAGCTGGTATATAATGATGTGCTACATGGTGGCTAGCAGTAAAGCTGGAGGATGAACTCTAACTTTTTTGCACTCGATAAAAGTTAAGTGAGGGTTCCCGATGGTTAGGGACAAATACAATCGCATGGCAGGATGCTGTAAACGGACCAAACTTCAGTCAGGAGAACAACTGAGATAATCCATCCACAATACAAAGTTAGTCATTAATATACTCCAACAACATGGGAATAGAGCAGCTGCGAGAGCATTCAGCATTAATGAATCAATGGTACGGAAGTGGAGGAAGCAAGAAGAATGAGTAAAGTTTGACTTATCTGACTGTTTTATTTTGCCTTATGTGCCTTATAATCCTGTGCGCCTTATGGTCCATAAAATGGGGTATGTCCAACCAATTAAGGGGGGCATATAACTCTCATTCATATCTTTCTAATCCTCGTAAACTCTGTGGACCTGCATTCGGTTCTTCAGATCACAACATTGTTTACCTCCTCCCTGCTTATAGAACTTTGATTAGGAGGGAGAATGCCTGTGTGAAGCGAGCTAATGTCTGGACAAAAGACATTTCCGTTGCCCTTCAGGGGTGTTTTGATTGCACCGACTGGTCCTTGTTTCAAGAGAGCTCTTCTGACTTGGATGAACTTACGGATGTGGTGTGTAGTTACATCTCTTTTTGTAAAGACTGTGATTCCATCTAGAGAATTTAAAACTTTTCCCAGTAACAAACCGTGGCTCTCTAAAGACATCAAGGATTTGATTATTAAAAGGAAAATTGCTTTTAATAAGGTAGAAGTTCCCATTGTTGAACATCACCTTGACCCCTTCCAGTTCGCCTATAGAGCAGGAAAAGGTGTGGAGGTGTGCTGTTGGCACACACTTGCATTTCTTGTATAAGCATCTTGAGGGCCACAACACACATGTAAGATTGTTATTTGCGGACTTTTCATTCACATTCAACACAGTTCAGCCCTCCTTACTTGCTAATAGGTTTTATAATCATTTTAAGCTTCATCCTAGTCTGATCGGCTGGGTGATAAACTTTTTTGACTAACAGGTCACAATGCGTGAAGGTGAATAGTGTACTTTCTGATGTGCTCTTCTCTTGTACTGGAGTCAGGAGTGGCTGCAGGAATCACTGAAACAAAAGTGCCATTTATTAGAGCTATGAAGTGGAATTAATACATTAAAGCTAGAGTTACTTTAAAACAGGCACTGGTTAACAGATCGACCAGTATACTAACCGTGTGTGTGTGTGTGTGTGTGTGTGTGTGTGTGTGTGTGTGTGTGTGTGTGTGTGTGTGTGTGTGTGTCGTTTACATGTTGTGTGTTTCTACATTGTTGTGCTTGAGAGTCACCATCTACCAGAACCAAGCTAAGAGCATTAAAAGTTAAGAACAAACAATAGAATAGAATAAGAAAGAATAGAATAGCATACTATACAAAATAGAATAAAATACTTTGTTGTATCAGGAAAATTGCACTTGGTAATATCAGAATCAGAATCAGAAATACTATTAACACACAGCGAGTGAGAAAGGTGACTGAAGAAGAAACACTCAGTGCAACATGGGAATCTCCCAGCAGCCTACACCCATTGCAGCATAACTAAGGGAGGATTCAGGGTCAGCTGATCCAGGCCTAACTGTATGCTTTAGAAAAAAGGAAAGTTTTCAGCCTAATCTTTAACTGGTAGCTGGTTCCACAGAAGAGGGGCCTGAAAACTGATGTTCTCCCTCCCATTCTACATTCCTGTTATATTGCACATCAGATAGACAGGGCGAACATTAGCACCATTGTATTAAATGTGTGTGGTCATCTGTAGCGACCATGTTTGACAGCAGTGGGGAGAAAAGACCTGCAAAATCTCTCCGTCCCACACCGTGGGTGCCGCAGCCACTGAAGGAGCTACTCAGTGCTTTCAGAGTCTCTTGCATGGGGTGGGAGATGCTGTCCAACAGGGATGACAGCTTAGCTACCATTCTCCTGTCACTCATTACCTCTACTGGGCTCAGAGGGCATCCTAGAACAGAGCTGGCCCTCCGGATCAGCCGCCCCAGCAGACTACACCAGACTTCCTGTGTCCAGACCACACCATAAAAGATAGCTGAGGCCACCACAGAGTCATAGAAGGTATTCAGGAGTGGCCCCTTCACTCTAAAAGACCGGAGTCTCCGCAGCAAGTACAGCCTGCTCTGCCCTTTTCTTTAGAGTGCATTTGAATTGTGAGTCCAGTCTAGTTTATTGTTCAGATGAACACCAAGGTACCTGTAGCTGTCTACCGTCTCAATGTCCATGCCTTGGATGTTCAGTAGTTGCAGTGGAGGATGTTTGTACCTTCCGAAGTCTACCACCAGCTCCTTGGTTTTACTAGTGTTTATCTGGAGGTAGTTCTGCTGGCACCAGTCCACAAAGCCTTGTGTCAGTTCTCTGTACTCCCTGTCATCCCCATCAGTGATGAGGCCGACTATTGCAGAGTCATCAGAGAACTTCTGCAGGAAGCACTGGGTGGAGTTGTGGGAGAAGTCTGCAGTGTAGATGGCGAAGAGCAACGGAGCCAGAACTGTTCCCTGCGGGGGCTCCATACTGCAGACGACCCTGTCCGACACACAGCCCTGAGTTCTCACATACTCTGGGTGGTCGGTGAGGTAGTCCAGTATTCATGTAATGAGGTGATGGTCCACTCCTGAGTTCTCCAGCTTGACCTTCAGGACTGTGGGAGGAATGATGTTAAAGGCACTGGAGAAATCAAAGAACGTGATTTTTACAGTGCTCCCAGCGGTCTCCAGGTGAGAGAGGGAACAATGTAGGAGGTGAATGACAGCATCATCCACTCCAATGCCAGGCTGTTAGGCAAATTGAAGTGGGTCCAGTGATGGGCTTACCAGGGACCGAAGCTGAGCCCCAGGACCAGCCGCTCCAGGGTCTTCATCATATGGGATGTCAGGGCCACCGCCCTGTAGCTGTGGAGTTCCTTGAGACGTGGAGTCTTTGGCAATGGTATAACGGAAGGGGTTTTCCAGAGCTGTGGGACTCTCCCCAGCCTTAGGCTCAGGTTGAAGATGTGCTCCATAACACCACACATTTGGTCTGCGCAGGGCCTTACAACCCTTGAGCTGATGCTATCTGGACCCACTAACTTCCTGGCTTTAATCCTCTTCAGTTCCCTCCTAACCTGGATGGCTGAGGCTACGTCCATACTAGCCCGTATAAATTAGAAAACGTCGTTTTCGCCTGAAAACACTCCACGGCCACACTATCGTTTTCAGTCGTTTTCACAGAGTTGTGCATCCACATTGAAACGGCAGAAAACGCTTATGTTCCAGTACTGCGCATGAGTGAAACACAAGACGATTTCTCATTTCTGTCTGACGTTTATTTACTTTCCGGCTCTTTGAAACGTTGCAGCAAAATGTTGAGAAAAAGCACAGAGTTTTTTGTGGAGTCCACAGACAAGGTAGGAAAATATATCAGGCTAAGTCAATAGTAGTTGGTCTTCAGGGTTTCTACTCCACCGCCGTTATTTCATACGGGTCCACATTTCCAATGCACGCTATTTTTTGCAAGTACCGCCTCTTTGCATCCGGACGCAATCTGTCTCTATACCGGCCTTTTTCTTTTGAACTGCTTTTAAGTATGGTTCATAGCAATCTTCCTTCCAACACAATGTGTTTGTTTTGATTCGTGGCATGCTAAAATGGTGCCGCGCTTCCACAATGCATTGCGGCGTGACGTCAACTCCAAAACCCTATACTGAATGCTGTGGTTGGGGGTGGGGAGTAGTGACCATGGTGTGTGGAGGTGTGAAGTGGGTGAGGTGTCAGAGATGAGTTTGTGTTTGACTAGGGACACATCAAAAAGTTGCAGTACACCGACCCTCAAGGAATGGAGCTCAACACAGCTGTTGGAACTTAAGCCTGACATCCACCTAACCACAGCAAATACTAAATTTAGAGCAAAGTGACCGCAACATGTTTCCTCATGTTAGGTGCTGAGTTTTTGTTCGCTGAAATGTCATTATGTTTTGGCTCACACAGAAGACACCGCATTATACAGCTGTTCTTATGTACTGCTTTTAAACTAAACATGCTTTGTGTGAAAGTCAAAGTCAGCTTTATTGTCAAACACCATAAAGCAGCCTTA